TTAGAATTCAACCACCATTGTTTGGCCTTAATGAACAATGGCATTTTTTGGCATTGGCAACGACAAAAACATTTTGTAACTGTCTCTCAGACGATACACATCATACTGTGTGCTAGTTAAACAAGTGATGTCAACAAATCAGCTATTCAGATAATTTAGGTTATTTATTTATTTATTTGTTTGTTTCATAAATACATAAATTTTCTTGAATTTAGCAGGCAGTACTGGATGATGTGCAAAAATCATTCAATCATATTACTCAAAATTTCCCATATAGTATTTCAGAAAATGATCTTTTTAATGAGGTATCATTATTAAAAAATATATATTGATAAGGAAAAGGTTAAATCTTGGGCTTCCGCAAAAATCACAATAGAGAACAAACAGTTGGAAATAGCTCATCATTTTGAAACAAACCATGTTCCATACAAGAATGCACTAAAAATTGTGGAAAACGCGCTGTCCTTACCAGGAACTAATGCTGCGACTGAATGCGTTTTTTTCTACGGTAAATAAAGTGTGGACATCAGAAAATTCACAATTTAGTGTTGAGACTTGGAAAGCCATTTCATGTGTGAAATATAATTTAACAAATTCTTGTGAAAAATTTCATGACCTTTTAAACAACGACAGTAATCTACTAAAAAAAATTCACTCAAATGAGAAATATGCCAAAGAATAATACCACAAATAATTTTTAATGTATTATATTTGTAAACTGTACTTATGTTGAAATTAAAAATGTATATTACAATACTATTTTTGCGTTCTATGAAAATTTGCTCCATATAGACCAAATTTTTAATGAAGAACCCCAACCCCCCACCGGTCAATGGTGTCCCGCTCTACCAATGTTAAACTCTGGTCACCTTATGCTAGGAGCCACGTTCACAGGGCGGGCCTCAGGGTTAGCTGAGGTCCCAGAGCGGTGGAAAGATCTGAGCGCAAGGTCGGTGACACCATTCTCCACCAGTAAATGTCAGTGGCTTCTCCACCGTCCAATTTGACTAATTGTCTGGTGCAATTATTTATGGCAACCGTTTATTCCTGAGCATGGGGCTGCAGGCCATGTGCAACAAAACCATGCAGGGAGCCTCTGGAAAATCCCGAAGCCAGGCCTCTTTCCCCGGGGACATCTGCCCCGTTTTAAAGTTCCCTCTGTGGGTGTACTGATCACACTGGAAAAACTGTCGCTCTAAAACCTCAAGAGGCAGCCCCCTCATCGTCGCGTCTGGCTCGGTGAGAGACTTTGGGCTCTTTGAGCCAGGCTCTGGGCGTGGCTACAACATGCTCAAGGTCAAAGGGTAAGAGCCAGAAATTTTTATGGGATTTGATTCCAAACCGGCCACTCTCGTATGGGAAGCAGCCAAACCTGGTGCTTGGGGTCCCAGACAAAGGAGGATGGTGACCTCACTCCAGCTTGTTCCGGTCCTCCCAGAATCCAGGTTTCTGGCCCATGGAGCTGGGACTATGGTGTTCTTGCGAACCCCAATCCTTTATGAAACCGTTTCCCTAAAGTACCTTCAAGTGAAGCAGGAGCTCTAGTGGCCCAGTGGTTACACACAGGGCTATGATCCACAAGGTCAGCGGTTCAAAGCTGAGATGGAGCTTTCTACCCCCTGTGAAGTGCTACAGTCTGGGAAACCCACTGTCTCGTGCAGTCGCTACGAGTCGGAATGAACTCGATGGCGGCACGGAGCTTGCTTTGTTTTTAGCGTGTGAACTACAAGGAGTCCTGTGGCAGTGGCGGTGCACAGGGCTGTTATCAAGATCTGCAGTTCGAAACCAAGACCAGGCTTTCTATCCAAGGAAAACGTCTTGGTCTCCCTATGGCGCATTCCTGCTCCATCCTACAGGATCACTGCGTCAGGATTAACTTGATGGCAGTGGGTTTGGTTTGGGGTTTAGTAAGCACCTTAGCAAGGCCAGCAGCTCGAACCCACCAGCCCTCCACAGGGGAAAAGTGAGGCTGGCTGCTCCTGTAAAGATGTGAAGTGTGTTTGCTTGCTTTTAAGCAGCTTGGCACAGGCCCTCTTTACTTTGGGCCCTGGGCCCTTTTAGAGAATTATGTCTGTGCAGGCAGTTTTTGAGGGTCAGGAACCCCAGGGTCTGGCTGGAAAGTCTATGGCAAGTCCTCAGTGACTCCATTTCCCCACTCTCGTGGAGC